CTTCAGCGGGGCTTTGCATACTCAGTGTGTAAGTCTACGTAATTACCACCATCCAGATATGACACACTTCTGGCACCCTAAAAAGCACCCTCATCTCTTCCCAGGTAATGCCCAATGGCTAAAACTCCACTACCCAGAGACAGCATGACTCTGACTTCAAACATAATAGATTAGTTTTGCCTCATCTTGAAAGAAATGACAAAACATTAGTGAAATCAAACGGTATGTACTCTTGAACAAGGAATCAGAAAGTACATACTCTTGTGTCTGGCTTATTTTGCCTAATATTTTGTCTATGAGATTCATCCATACTTTGAATACGGTGGTAGTCTTGTCTTTTTTCTTTCTAAGTAGTATTCCTTTGTATGGACATACCACAATTTTATTTATTCATTCTTCTATCGATGGGCATGGGTGGCTCTTCATTTCTTGGATTTTATGACTAGAATTGCAATGAATATTCTTGAATATGTTTTCCACCGAAATCAGCACTCATTTCTCCAAGATATTACTTAGAAGTCAAATACCAAGTCATAAAGTGTGTGTTTAGCTTTAATGAATACTTCCAAACAGTTTTCCAAGATGATTGTATCAGTTTGCAGCAATGTGAGCTCCGATTGCTCCACAGTCTTGATAAAATGTGGCCTTGTCAGTGTTTTGATGTTTGCCATTCTAGAAACTGTGTATTATAATCTCATTATGAGTTTCATTTTAATTTCCCTGTAATGTGCATCATTCTGTGCTGGTGTTTTTAAATAATGTCCTGGTACATAAACGACTGTTTCTGCTTAGAGAGAAAATGACTATTTATAGTAACACAGATCTGTGGGCAAGGATCGCATGTGGTATCCATCCAATATTTAAATACTATCGACCAACCCAAATTTGGGAAATCAGCAACCAAATCACTTAGCCTGTTTTATGTTCTAAAATTCTTCTCCACTTCTAATGCTGCCTAAGCGGGGTTAGTGATCTAGAATATTCTTCCCTGCTTCCTAGCTGCACACGAGTCACAAATCTCGCCTTTGTGCTTACCCGCGTCCTAGAGGGTATTTAAGTCCCCTCTGGCGCCATGGGCTGCATCTCAGCTCTAGGAACGAGGCCCCAGGGGCATGTCTCTACAACTGAAGCTCTGTTCTGCCTCACTGCTTAAGTCGATAAAAGTAGACGCGAACTACCGTCAGTTTGTGAAACTTGTGGGTGCCACTTTATTTAAAGAGAGGTTCAGGTGATGGCGGCAACACTAACCAGAGAGTTTTCTGGCTGCGAAAGGAAGGGTTGACCTTAGTTATCTCTAAAGTCCTTCCAGGAGACATCCCAGCATCGGCAGCGCTGAGCCCCAGGTTCTGTGTCTTGGCTCTATTTTCCTTTTCGCACATTGAGGGAAAGCTGTTCCCCAGGCATTTCTGCTGCTCTTCGTCACAGGGGCGTGCAGGGGGGACCCCCGCTCACTTCACGAGCTGTACACATCCTAGAAGGACGTGCAGCAGAGCAGGGTCTTGTAATCACCCCCGTCCGTGAGGTCTCTTTCCCTGCCGGACATGAACTCTTGTTGGAAAGTTCCCCAGTCTCCTCTCCTTTGTATCCACGGCTCTTGCAGCACAGTGCCTGGCATGGAACTGGTAAAATAGGTGTTAAATAGATGAATGAGAAGCCGGGGCAATTTTCTGGGGGTGGCAAAGTCCAGTTCTCCCCCAGGAAGGAACGTGATGATGGCTTTATGGTGTGATGACAATTACCCATTGAGAAACACCCTTCCGTCTGTGGATTGGGATAAAGCAGGAGATGATCAGATGCGCTCTGGGCTTCATGGCTAACAGGGAGGTGGTGCGGCCCCTTCTTCCCCCATCATCCCCTCAAAGGGATGGCGGAGGGAAGCCTCTGGCAGGATCCTTGTGTGGGCTGAGGTAAAGGGGTACAGGAGATTTCTGAAGATCCTTTGTAATGCAATCCCAGTATTTCCTTTGAAGCAGAATTGCAATCCTCAAATGGGACCTCTCAGCGCAGCATTCTGGTTTTAACTGCAGGAGGGTTGGTGGGGGAGGGAGGAGGGGGAACAAAGCTTGACTGAAAAGACCTGATTTCCCCCAAGCTGCGGGAGAAGTGCTTTGTGCTCCCCCTGAGCCGCAGAGCCCTGCAGGGAAGCCCACAGCCCCACGTCAGCCGGCTGCTAGTGACACCCCCAGGCTCCGCCGGTCCTCCCAGTAACATCGGCCTCGGTCACTCAGATGCTCAAGTGTAAATCTTGGAAGAGTACTCGTGTCCTCAGCTCTGTCCTCTCTCGCACATTTAGTACTTAGCAGAGCCTCCCTGGCAGGTCGTGGTGCAAGGGCTACTAGGGGCTGCCGGAGCTCCTGTAGGTCAGGGCAGTCTTCTCTGCGACAGGCACTTGCTTATGCAGCTTCGTGTTAAGGCTGTAGCTAGTCTGGGGCTTGCCCAGGACGCAAAGTGGAGCTGATGTCCTTGCTGGAGGCCCAGCTGCCTGTGTGTGTGCAGCACTGGTGGTCACAGCCCCAACACCCCGAGACTCCTGAATCCCAAGCATGGCAGTGTCAGCGGGGAGGGAACACACCAAAGGGGGCAGGGAACACGCTGCCTTTTCCGTGGGTTCGTCAAGATGCCAGGGAAGTGCAAATTGTCCGGGAGAGGCGTGTACAGGCACAGTTATTGTTGCCTTGTTTGTAAAAGCAAAATTGCAAGTAACACTATCACCCATCTATGGGAGAATGGCTAAATAAACTGAGTTACAAATTTAGGCTAGAAGGCAGTAATTAAGAAGAATGAGATTACATCTGTAAAGACATGGAAATATCTCCAAAATAGATTCAATTTTTTTTTTAAAAAAGTAGAAACTTAGATATAGTGTGATGCCAATTCTCACAAAATCTACAAATCTAAACCAAGTGTTTTCTTGTTCTTTTTTTTTAAAATTGAAGTACAGTCATTTACAACGTGTCAATCTCTGGTGTGCAGCACAATGTCCCAGTCATGCATATACATGCATATGTTCATTTTCATATTTTTTCCGTTAAAGGTTATTCCAAGATATTTAAGTTATTTAAGCCAGAAAGAGAAAGAATAAACCAAGTGTTTTGTAACTGCAGATGCATGTATGTAAATATATAGGAACGGGTCTATAAGGACATATACCAAATGGATAACTATGGAAACTTTCTAGATAAAAGTGGACTGAAAAGAGGATGGTCAGGGGGCTTTTAGTTTTGTCTGTATTGCTTGGAGCTTTTTAAACAATGAGCTGTGTCATCATTAATAATTTTTAAAAGAGCTAATAAATAAAATACAACAAAGCTTCGATGAGAAGACACAAAATGTCTTTTTACCCTGCCTAGAGATAGTCTGATCCACCACAATGTGGTCCAAGGTTTTGCAAAGTGATATTTTGGAAATTGAAACTTTGGCACATGCATTACTGTTATTGAGTATCTTCGTGTGTATTTAAAGCCTATAAAAGGATATTTGCACTCAAAAGTTTTTAATATGAAACATGTCTCTAAAACTTAGATGCCTTTCGCCTGCGAGAATGTCCCAATTGTGAAGACTGAAAAGATCCGGTGAGGACAGGGCACGTGGGAACAGGCAGAGCATCACGGTGCACTGTTGACGAGAGTAAACGTTGGTTCAAACTCTCTGAGGGGCACTTACCATCAACCAAAATTGTAAATATTAATCCCTTAGACCTAACACTTCCACTGCCAGGAATTCGTCCTACGCAAGGGCACAAAAACACTCATTAAAAAGGACTCATCACAGCATTACCTGTAAGAGCAAAACCTTAGAACCTTTGTACATGTTCCTAAGTTGGTGTTTGCCAACAAGCCAGCAGCAGTAAAATGAATAGATGAGGATGAATCCGAGGTGGTATCAGCGAGGCTCAGTGACTTCTGTAGTTGGAGAGGGAAGAGGCAATGGTGGCCCTGCACCTCCAGGCTGGACCACAGTGTGCCTGGCTAAGGCGTTAGCTGAGACAGAGATGGCGTGGGGTGTTTGTGGCATTACCTGAGCGGAGACACCCAGCCAATGTGATTAGTTCCCGTGCTTGTGTAGAGAACGTGGAATCGACTGGAGGAAGTCAAGGGGTGAGGATGGGACTGGTTACCAAGAAGAGGAGAACAAGAAGGAGCAAGGATTAAAAAGAAGGTGAAACAGTAAATGTAAAGAATTCTAAGGTGCAAGGATCAGCTAGACCAGGATGCTTTACAAACAAGAATTCTAAGACTTGAGAAGCTATGTAATGGATGTGATTCAAGCTGCAAAGATTGGGATGGTTGAAGTGTGATTTGAACTTAGTCTCACCTTTTTCCAGGCAATATTTGTGAAGCCCAAACACCCCTGTTATGGTAATATGTGATTAGCAAAAAGACAGCTAATGTAGTGAGCTGATGTGACAAAATTCCATGAGAAGTCAGAAATGTCAAATATCAGTGTCTGACAAGTCCCTGTAATAGCCATCAATCTGTAACATGGGATAGGTGTAGTAATACACATTTACTAAGGTGGATAGTAATGTGTGGGTCGGGTACCACGTGTAAATCATCTCGTTTACTCTTCATCAGATCCTTCAAGGTAGGTAATTTCTATCCCCATCCTACAGATGAAGAAACGGACGCTCAGAAAGATTGAGTGTCTTCCCTGAGGCCACAGCATTGGTTAGAGAGAGCTCATAGAAACTCGTTCGGAGGGCCCTTCAAAATGTTGTTTACTTTTGCCACATGCTCTCCTTTGGGGATAATAGGACCTACCCATCTGCCCCAGAGGTTGCCTGGACTGCACCTGGAGAATTCTGGCGGTCCAGGAATCTGTCTTTTAAAGTGGCTCCTTGATGATTCTGACGTGGGTAGTTTTATGTGTTTTGAGAATCGTAAGCCGTGGCAACCCTGCGTAAATGTGACGGTAATTGTTACTGACGGCTATGAGGCTTTTCTTGGCAGGGACAGGTCAGTTTTCATCTAAAAACCTGAGTGCATGTTGTCCGTGTGTGTGTGGATGCAGGTGGCTTCCCCAGCCCGGTCCAGGTGTGGCCAGCCCCCTGGGCGGTGTCACCGTCCACGCAGCCGCGTGGCTTTTCTAAGAACCACGTCGGTTACAGGCTCGCCTCCCTTCTATTTTCTAGGCATCAAGAGTAAACGGCTCGGGGTGTGTGGCTGGGTCCTGTTTTCCCTTTCTTTGCTGCTGCTGATCATTACCTTCCCTGTCTCCATATGGATATGCTTGAAGGTAACACCCCGGGAGACAGATTGGGCTCGTTACCTGAGCTGATGGACCATTAAGACTAAATGCTCTCCCTTAATCTCTTAGGTCATTAAGGAGTACGAACGGGCTGTCGTATTCCGACTGGGACGCATCCAAGCTGACAAGGCCAAGGGGCCAGGTATGCCACTGCGGCTGCTTCTGACGAGGGTCATGGGCACCTATCACTGCTACCAAAAATTTCCCTGGATGTGTCTAATGAGCAGAAATAAAATCACAGGAAGCTGGGCCCTTGCCTTTCTGCACAATTGAAGGATGTCGTCCTCCTGTGCAAGTTAACGGGAGTGACCACTAGACCACTAGCTTGGGAGTCTGGAAATCTGGACCTGTTTTCTAACACTCCTGAGAGCTTCTGTAAACATGAGCAGAGAGCAGCTCTGGTTGTGACGACTGGACGTCACGTATTTCCAGGGCCACAGGGAGAATGAAGGAAGGTGGGGAGGAGGGGACAAGTGGCCGAGGGACAGTTACGTTACTCAGGGAGGGTATTCCTGGAGCTGGTTTTTCATTCTCACTCTCCGAAAGAACTAACAGTGAAGTGAAAGACAATTCCCTCTCTTGGCAAGTAGATGAATAGAAACAGAACTGGAAGGCACTGTACAAGCCTTTTGTCACATGTGGTCTTTATGTCCATCCTTTCTCTACAACCTTAGAATAAAAAAAAATCCCAAACTCTTCATGTTAAAAAAGGATGAGATTTTCTTTTGTGGGGTGTTGAGGGGGGAGAGGTATTCGTACTAAAACTCCCCAGAAGTAAGATATTGATTTAATACTGATAATTTCTCTTGATATGTATTTAGTTGAACCTTAAGAAATAGTTAGTGTCTGGTTGTTTTTTTTAAAGAATGATTTCTTTTTTTAAGTAAAATTTTTTTATTTTGCAGGGAGGTAATTAGATTTGTTTGTTTGTTTGTTTGTTTACTTATTTAAGGAGGTACTGGGGATTGAACCTAGGACCTTGTGCATGCTAAGCACACGCTCTACCACTGAGCTCTACCTCCCCCTGCTAATGTCTGTTTTCGACTCACCAAAATGGGAATTTCATATGATAGATTCTAAGATTCTTGAAAGGAGAGGTTATCAAAATAACATCTTGGAAGGAACATGGAAATGAATAGTTAATTCCTATACTTCTCTGATAACATTTGCTTTCTGTCTCCTAATATGATATATTTAAGTAAAATCATTCTTCTGGACTGTAGGATCTCTGGGGACAGGAACTTCCGTATTCCCTCCGTGTGCTCTGCGTTTGGCCATGCGGCATGCAGGCACTCAGGTATCTGTTACATAAAAAAAATATATGAGAAACTGCAAAAGGAGAAGCCTATTACAGAGACTTAGCCATTTCAAGTAGTATAATCCTACTGTCTAATAAGGAACCGAAGAGAAAGAGCAAGCATTGCTTACTCTGGATATTTTTATGAGTTTGTCAAAGTACAAGTGTTAGAATTCTCCATCCGAGGAATAACAAAACAAAGTTAACCCCTTCCTCATCATGTTTCATTTGGTGGGGCCAAGATTATAAGTTAGCATAAAACTGGATTTGAGCTAGACACAAAAGCCACAACTTGAAGGACTCTAGAGAAAAGTCTCTTTTAAATGCATTTCCCCAGAAGGTTTCACCACTAAATGTCCCAGGATAGCTACTCTCGTCATATGTGTCTCTGGGGCTGATGAGTCACCTCAGAATGTCATGAG